GACGCTAATAATTTTTAAAGTCGTTTCAGTGCTGTTTTAACTAACAGCTGGTTTCAAACTGTCATTGACGTTTTTATGTTACAAGTAGTTTACTTAAATATTGATCGTCGGTGTTTGCCCGCATACTGTTTCAATTTTAAATGTTGTTTTTTCCTACCGTAACGGATCTTCGTATTCAGGAAATCTGTAGATTTGATTTGAACTATACATCTCTAATACTTCTACCCTTGGGTAAAATCAAGATTTGTCTGAAATCAAATCTGTGTAAGTAGGCCTATAAGTTTATGCCATGAAAGTTATGTCATGTTTGTAGAATGTGTGTAGTCTATATCGATATACCAAAATTTCGAGGGTTATAAAAATGTGAACCGGTGTAGGAGGTCTCTAGAAAACACTGGGGAAAATCCCCTACTATATTTTGAGCTGATTTTATTGTTAGTGCAACTTCAGAGTATACTTTTTACAAATTACATTATCATTTTCAAAATCTGTTTAAAACTCAATGAGGCGTTCTGTTCACAAATTAACCCCTTCCAAATTAATTAAGTACATAGGCTAGATAACACTGATAATTATGAATTATGTTAATGTACGAATTATAGTAAAAAGATGAAACTGACTTTAGTAAATAACTAACTAAACTTTTCCTTTACTATGTTAAACAAACGTATTTGGCTAAGGTATTCTTGGGAGGGATACCTGAAGTGGGGAAGTCTAAGCTATTTTACAAAAAATACTTCCCGCTATAAATACAGTTGTACTCTACGAATTAATAGTCTGCAAATTACAGACGAATTCCATAAATCAATACTCTGAGAATAGTGGATACTATACTTAGGACTATGTTCTCTTGCAAACTTTTAAGTTATACGTATTAATAATATTCTGCGAACTACAGGTAGATATAAATGTGTAACTTTCAAAACAATGGGCGACCGTTTATGGAATAACTGTACTACTTCAATTTCAATTTAGTTATTTAATATCAGCAGTGTGAAATCATGAAATAAAGTGAATGTGACACTGTTGCTTGCTTCTCTGTCAACGCAAACGTAAACAGTGTGAGCTTTTTCCTGTTTATTGCCGAAGAAACTAACCAATATTTACTTTCTAAATTCTTTTTTACGGGAAAGAGTCCTTCACCAATATCAAATCAGGAATATTCTCAATGCATTTATTTTTACCATAAAATCCAGAGAATTATTTAAATGTATAAAAATTATATACAGCATTTATTGCTCAATGTTTACAATTTAAGAATTAGGAAATGTGAAAATATGTTTGTCAAGTGTGTACTGACTGTATTATGATGTTGAGTGGTTGAAGCATGCTCATATTAATACGAGTTGATTCCTTACTTAATTGTCACTATTACTATAAACATTTTATTTCATTTCCACGTGTTTCAAATACATTTTATACGTCAAAAACTATATGTAATTTATACATCATTTGATGTCAAATACATCATTTGATGTATAAAATTAAGGGGAAATGTCTAGAGAAAGCACAATATCAAAGTGTTAATTTGTATTTATCTTAATATCCACAACGTTTGCGTAATAATACCAAATCCTTCCCATTCTTGCGAGTTCAGTCGAGCGGTGGTAATATGGGACAGTCTCTACCCTTGTGAACAATAGCTGGCTCGAGTCACGAGCCCAAGCCCTACAGCAGGTATACCGGGGGTGATCATGACAGGGGGGGACCTTTCCGGGGTGTGCATTTTGAAAACGATCGGGGTTAACGTATCCGGTTAACATCAATTCTAATTAGAAAATCTGGTAATTGTATATGATAAGTGAATATAATTATCTAATTAATACGCGAACTAAAAAATAACTCGTCATATCGACGAGTGCATGCTGCAGCTGAAATTGAGTGTCCGCGGCCGGAAACATCACCCCCCGGTCTCTGACGTCAATATGACGTAGGGGGGTGATGTTTCCGGGGGCGACCTTTCCGCGTCCCCATCCCAGCCAGTCCAATACACCATTTGAAAACCCTATGGCCCTTAACTTTTCCAGAAGAAGATTATGATTTACGCAGTCGAAAGCTTTCGAAAAATCAAATAGTGTTAGAATTGTACCCTGCCGACGTTCCATTGCTTGTCTAATGTCGTCCGTCACACGTAATAGTGCTGTTTCTGTGCTGTGTGCCGTTCGAAAACCAGACTGAAAGCTGCAAAGTATGTTGTTGTCAGTCAGAAATTCCGTCATTTGGCAGTGCACAATTCTTTCAAGGCCTTTTGATAATGCGGGCAATATACTGATCGGCCTGAAATCCTGGCAAGATGCCGGGGCTGGGATCTTATTTAATGGACGAATAAGGGCAGACTTCCAAGAAATAGGGAAAACACTTTGCCTTAGTGATGTGTTGAAAATGCATGTGACAGTTGGGAGTATAGCAAAGAGAATGTCTTTTATAAAACGAATTGGAATGCCATCTGATCCGACTGCATTGCTACGAATCCGACGAATTGCGTTAAGAACATCTGACTGCACTACAGGTCTGAAAGTAAACTTAGGATGTCCTAGGTCCTGATCAGGGAGGTTTCTGATTTCGTTTATGTAATTTACAACATGTTGTTGGTCGATATTTTGACCATATGAAGAGAAGAAAGCGTTTAATTCATTGAGAGGGACATTCACTCTCTGTGGTTCAGACTGCTTCCCAAGCCCAAGACTTTTTACATTGCGCCATAAAACCCTAGAGGATTGATTTTTATTTTCAAAAAGCATACGGATGTGTCTTAATTTTGAATTTCTCAAAAGCTGTTTCACTCTATTTCGAAGATAACGATATTGTTCCATTTCTGTTTGGTTTTGAGAACGTTTAGCTTTCCTAAAAATACAATCACGTCTAGCCATTAATCTGCGGATTTCTGGGGTTATCCATGGTGCCGGACGTATTTTCGACGTTGATTTGGAATTGAGTATGATTAACTGGACATAGTGGGTCTAAACATTTAATTGTGAGTCTAAAAATACCATTGCGATTGCGAGGTAAGAGTGAAATGATGATTGGGCGAATAATGCGCCACTTATGTTTTTATAAAAGAAAGTGAGGTGTTTTTACTAGGTTGGCGGCCTCTTTTAACCTCGCATTTGCCCGTCCACATAGACTACATTTACATTTTTACATTTACATTTACATTTGTTGTCATGAGAGCCGAAGCCCCCTGACTGCTTACCCGGTACCTATCCTTCAGGACATACCCGGGCCCCATGATGTAGGCCGAAGCTTACGCATCAACCTTTAGCACATCATGGGCGGATGACTTAAGGTCATCAGGCTCGCCGGCTGCCGAAGCAGACCCTTCGGAAAGAGGGTTGCCCCTCAATCCTAACCAGGGATTCCGGCTGCTTGTTTAAGCGTCACTCCACCTGGGTTCCACTAGGCCGGGACCTAGAGGTCCATAGTAGAGCGCCCCGACGCATTTAGTGCAAGCAACACTCGGGACCTATCTAATCCCTGACAGGCAGAACCCGCCATCAGAAGCCAGGAGGAAGGGGACCATCAGCACGCTGACGGGGGGAACCCCAACCTCCCATTTACACCGCTGCCCGATCGAGGCCTTACCCATTGCTGGGAAACCAGAGATAACCAGAGCGATAGATCCCCAGATACCCCTGGCGGGCTCGGACCCAGCACCCGATCTACTTCGTTTGCCCGTCAGACCCAACATCACTGCCAGGCCATCAGGGTTTCCCAAAAGGAGGCAGGTATAGAAGTGGGACCCACCCGGATGAACCTATCCACCAGAGGTGGCGACACCCTTGACTCAATTGAGGTTCCGGGAAGAACCCCCCACACTCAAGATAACCATACCGTCCGTGCTCAGAGACAGGGATTGGTTTGCATAAGTACCTACAAACCGTTGCCCTCACACTGCGGAAAGTTACGTTGCCCTTGAGTGTCCCCGTGAGCTGCGGGTACTTGCCCGTTTTCACCTCCAGGAAAGGTTACTTCCAAAGTCGAGGATTTGCCCACTGAATGCTGGTCGCACACAACAAGCAGGCCGAAGCCCAAAGAACCACAGACACAGGTAGGTTAGAGATTATGATGTACTTCCATCTCTCCTAGAGCTAAACACCCCTCCATCCTGGATAAAGGAATGTCACTGGGACCCGATGCCCAGTCGTCCATGTCTGTGGCCAACTTGAAAATGCCGATACCAACACGGAGCATTTACCTCCCCTCTGGGGGCTAGGTATTTCACCTCCCAGGACGAGGCTACTTCCAAAGTCGAGGATATGCCTCACAAAATGTCAGTCGAACACAACAGGTAGGACTCAGTCACAACCACAGTTACAGGTAGATGAGGAGAGGCGGAATTAACGGCGTCACTGAGAGCTAAACACCCCCCCCACCCTGAATGGAGGGAATGTCACTGGAGGCTCCCCCTAAGGGGCTGGCGCTTACCAGTCGTCCATAACTGTGGTCTACCTGAGGTGCCGGGTCTGACACCGGGCAGTTACCTCCCCTCTGGGAGAGCTAGGGTCCGCGTGGTCGCCCAGGCCACGAACCCACGCAAGCGTGAGCCCCCTGCGGTTCGTCCACATAGACTAACTGCCCATGCGTGGAACGTATCCAGCAAAGCAAGGGGTGAAACGGTACAGTATGAAGGTGAACAGTACTGATAAAATGTTTACGGCAGTGACCAGGATCCGAACCCACGACATCACTGCCTTGTGCCCGAAGTCCGTGACGCTACTGACTGAGCCACCGACTTACCTAAATGCATCTAATGTTTAAAATGAGACCTTCAACAATTTAAAAGATTTCATTTGAACACCTCCAAGACTACAGTTATACTAGAAGAATGTAAAATTCTTGATTTTGGCTCTACACTAAAATGTTACAGCTTAGCTCTTTACCTCAAAAAAATAAAAAATCACGACCATTTTCTAACTCTTATCTGTACACCAGTTTTGAATAAATCTAGGGTGTTAAGGAATTTTCATATAAATAAGTTTACGTGTTTGTTATACACTGACCTGTTTCATGTTGAGACTCTTCTCCGCTGACACACCCTCCAGTTCCAGCCTCGCCCTCATGGCCTGCGCTGCGCTCTGCTCCTGGTAGCTCACCTCTCCCGTCTGCACCCTCCTGCGCTCCTCGGAGTTGGCCATCTCCTTCTCGGCACTGAACTGGTCTGTCACCACCTTCATCCTCTTCTGTTCGAACTTGACCGAGGACTCCGTGGTAGTAGAGGAAGACGTTGCCGCCGCCGACGTAACGGGTGCTAGGATCATCCCGGTCGCGTTCCCGGGTCCGTTCACATCAGGAGTGTCAGGAAACGTGACGATCGGTTCTACGTTTTCCCCTCCTCCGGCGTCATCCAGCTCTACTAAATCCTCCACGGATTTCCTCATGGAGTTGAAGTTGACGCTGGAAATATTTTTCATCTCCGAGATGGAGCTTTTGAGCTCGGTCAGGTCAGACTTCATGGAGGACGCTTTCATCTCTGAACTCATGTGGAGCCTCTGGGTCGTCGAGGAGCTGGAGGAAGTGCACGTCTTTGCCACCCGCGACGACGAGTTGGACAGCATCTGCAACAAGAGGGAACATTGTTGGAGCGTCGCCCAGATAGGAATAGAGAACTGGTCATGCGCCGACCTACGAACATCGATGACTCGTCACGCCACAGCACACCTACACCAACGTGGGCAACGTGTGACGTGGCGAGGCCTGAGGAAGACGATGCGAATACCAAGGAAAGCACTTGTCGATTTGGCAACATCCCAGACTGGTCACCAAGTCTATTTTGATCTGAGGTGTCAACATTGTTGGGATTCTTTGAAAATGATGGACAAGTGAAATCTTATTCTCATGGAATTAATGATTACAAAACATGACTGTGTAACGTACACAAAAAACAAAAAAATAGCCTTCACTAAAACCAATATTATGGTCCAAACCACAATCAGCTAATCTTAGTGAATAGTAAAAGCGTACAAAAATAGCGTAAAGGTCCTTCCTTTATAGTATTAGTTTATGGAAGGTTTTTGGGGATATTAGACAGATTTAAAACGTCCATGTTACATTTATACTAGGTGGAGATCCAAGAGGGGTCTACAAAACTAAGCGGAGTTATCAGGGCGTCATCGACCCTCACCATCAAGCTTCATTATTATTATTACCTAAAAGAATTGAGACAATATTTGTGTAGAGATAATTATTATTAAGGGGGTTAAAATAGTTGCATAATATTGTTCCCCAGTGAAAGGAAGTCAAAAACACAGCGATGTCATATGTCTTTTCAGAAACATGCATTTACATTCCAAGCTTAAAAACTCTGGGGTAGTATATCAACTTTTTCTCTGACAGAGCGGTTGCATTATTTTATAGCACTGTTGTTGGCCTATTTCTGAGTGTAGCCAATATGTGTTTTTATGTGATGATATCGTGCATCTAAATCCTTCATGAAGTATGATGGGATCGTGATTTGAGGGAGATTAACCCACTAGTATACTGATATACTATATTATACCATCAGATGCTGAAATAAATTGCACTTGTGGAAATATTCTAATAGTTAAGTGCAGTGCTTTACAAAATTCACATTAAATAGCAAGTGGGCCAAAAAAACTGTCAAGAGCATATTTTAGGCAAGATTTCCGTGATCGGATTCGTACATATCGATAGGAACACAATAAACTTCTTCAGAAGAAGTAGAATCTGTTGGTCCAAGAGCAATTTAATCCAGAATATAAATATGAAAACTTATAATAAATGTATGTAGTTGGAATGGAAATTTTAAAAGTTCCGGGTTTGAGCAGTTTATGTAACTGGGAAAACTTTTCGCTGTTTTAAGGCTGCTGCTTGATGCACTGCTGAGAATCCAACAAAATTGTGTAAACTTGGTACATTTTTGCTAATTTAATAATATTTTTAATGATTTCTCAGAGGTTTGGTTAAATTATTTTCAATTGTCAATTATTCGAGGTGGAGACGCCACCTAGGTGTGTATTTTAAATATTATGAGCGAAGGATGAGTGTAGAATGGATTGAGATAATCTGTGTAGCTTTTAGCGAATTTCCCTATAGGGAAGTAGCAATTACCGTAGGTGGGATGGTAAGACCTAGACCAGAGACCGGTATACTTTTTCATTTGGATGTCCCTGCACCATTCGTTAAAATTTGTACAGTACTGTATAATACGTCCGTGAACGCGATTCTATGTGGATTATGCCTGACCACACCACTGAATTTAGTTTTTCATTACCTGGACCTTTCCTCCCCTTACGTGGTCAGGTTTTTGTTCGCTTTTGATCAAATTTGACTTGAAGGCGAAGGGCGAAACTTAAATAAACAACAATAATAACAATAAACTTATACGATAATAAACAATAATAATAAATAATAAACGAACCAGCAGGATCGGACCATGGAAACGGAGTTTTACTGGGGGGTTTTATGGGGTTAAAATTGGGTTTTCTCATTATTGACAAAAAAATTTTAAACCATTGCTTCGGCCGTGTGGAAGGAGTTTGCGAATGACGATGCAAGAGAGTCGACGTATGAGCTTTGCTCGCACCGCTCAATGAATGAGTGACGATACTACAGGTATTCGTACAGGTACTATTCATCAACGGGGCACAATAATGACTGTACATGTTTATGTTGTGTATATGTTTCCCAAAATCTAGAATAACAATCACTAATGCGACCGCTTGGCTTGATTATCCACGATGTTTCTAAAACGATTACTGCATTTAGTTTTTCATAATAACGATGGTAAATATTTAAAACCGATAACCTTAATGTTTGGCTCGGCTGCTCATTGGCAAAGGTACAAACTCACGCTTGCCTTGGAAACATTCTGAAAATAAACAGGTGCGCAATGCGCAAATCACTAACTAACAAGGCATGGTGATTTGTTATTTTGAGGCAAAGAAAACATGGTTGATTTTTTAAAAGTTAAGTGATGACATGTTGCAAATCCTTATCCATACCGGTCACGCTGCAGGGCTGTGGTATGCATCTTCAAGGTTTTTACACAAACTGGACATATTGGAACAAAAACCAAAACTACTCTCAACAATCTGAAAACACGAGATTCTGTCAAATATCCTATAACTGGCGCATGTATTGCGTCGTTATTAGAATATAACCTAAAATAGTTTAACTATTTCCACAGTATTTACACAGTATCCATAGGCTACGCCATTTTTTTTAAACCTGCTCCCCTTGTACTTAAAAACATGGCAAAGCATGATATGTCTAAGTGAAAGAGATGTTGATTGCATCATTAAAATGTGTAGAGCTTATTTCGAACGTATGTTGATTTTAGTGAATTTCCCTATTTTAGATTTCTGTCGTTTCTAGGATAAACTGTTTCAGGAAAAGATAAAACGTTCAAACAGAGAATTAAAATATATTATTTTAAAAAATAGTCTTCAACATTTAATCTGAAACAGTGCACAGGTGCTAGGACAGGACAACACTTTATTTATAATTCGGTGGTGCTTCTTGCATCTTTTCTTTATCAGTTTCATCAAAATATCAAAGTAATCAAGTACGACCAAAGTGCTATGTAAAATAATACTCCTTCTTTCTCAAAATATGGCGGTTGATGATCAATACAATAGAATTGATAAGCTTTATTTACACTTGATGGATTTCAACGTTTGCACCTCAATTATTTAACCTCGTTTTACTGTATCTCAGATTTGAAATATGAAAAACCCCGATAAAGTGTTGAAGAAATACAAAAGGTGGTGACAATAACTTACTTGAACACGTCTTCTGAAATACAAATGTCTTGATTGCTCGAAATCACGCGAGCTGCCCATCTCGAGCAAAATGCGATCTGAGTGGGCTGTCAAAGAGCCTAAGAGATAAGGCAAAAATAACTCGTCTAAAGTTAATTTTGGACTACAATCGATAATCACTGACATCTGTTGCGTAATTTTTCGCAATTAGAACATGAATCATCAAACCGTCTTGCTCTGAGCGGAAGGTAAACTTGTTTGTTGATTCCAAAAATTCGAACGAATCAATTATCGGTTTCTTATTACAATGAGATAGGTATCCTTGAGAAGTCCCGGCTAAAATGATATAATTTATAGCCAACCCATAACAAAAAACAATAAACGGTATCAGCATTCTGACACATACTTTCTCCCATAAGTTTGTCAACAACCTTTATCATGTGTAAGCGGTGAGAGTACGGAAATGGGATTTGTACAATTTTCTTCAGAATTTAAAGGACTATAACATACTAAATTTTTATCAAAATCGTTCGAGACAATTTTGGGAAAATCTTTTTTTCCGTTATTTTATGGGGTTTTTATGGGAAAATAACATAATTTACAATAACTTTTGAACCGTAATTTTTACAGAGATGGGATTTGTACCATTTTGTTCAGAATATAAAGAACTATAACACACTAAATTTTTATAAAAACCTTTTGGGCCATTTTTGGAAAAATCCTATTTTTCCGTTATTTTATGGGGTTTCATGGGAAAATCCCCATTAAAAATAAAAATTTCATAAAAATGAAAAAGAAACTATCAAAATTGTAAGGACCATAACATACTATGTTAAATCGAAACCGGATTTTTGTGTAAAATCCTATTTTTCGTTATTTTATGGGGTTCTTATGGGAAAATAACATAATTTACCATAACTTTTGAACCGTAATTTTTACAGAAATGGGATTTGTACCATTTTGTTCAGAATTTAAAGGGCTACAACATACTAAATCTTTATCAAAATCGTTCGGGCCATTTTTGAGAAAATCCGATTTTTCCGGTATTTTATGGGTTTTTATGGGAAAATCCCCATTGAAAATCAAAATTTCAAAAAAATGAAAAAAACGCCTGGAGATACCATGGATTAGAACCTACATACCAAATTTCATCGAAATCGGACCTCAGGTGTAGTCTCTAGCTCTGTACACATCCAGACACACAGACACACAGACACACAGACACACAGACACACAGACACACACACACACACACACACAGACATCACTTCGAAAACCACTTTTTTGGGTCCAGAGGGACCCAAAACAAATATATCCACTCAAAACTCAAACTCGAAAATTTTGACGAAAACAATACTTTCTCCATATACTATGGTATAGGGGGAGAAAGTAAAAAACTAGAGATCCCTAAGACTATTTGAAATCAAAGGGCATAACGGGCGTTTTATGAAGCATTTCGATTGATGTTGTTAGTCTTCCTAAAATCAATATTTATAGTCAACCAACTCAAAATAAAATAATGGAAAGCTTATTTAACTTACTTTTGCAAATCATTACTGTATTATTATCTGGGAACTTTCACATTTTACAATACGCAATGTAATTTTAACATCAATAGAAACTTATGCAAGATGGTAAAACGTAAGCTAGAAAAGCTAGGACTAAGTCCACAAAGGACACTTACCAACTCATTGCGATTACAGTAGTACAAGGAACACAAGTCCACGGCACAAAATCAACTACGAAACGCAATGTTGGACGAACAATCGCGAACTGAACTCTTCAACGATTAAACAAGATTTACCGAGAATTGCGATAAGCAAGCACGCGAATCTTCTGATGCCATTCCCGAGTGTAAAACACAGACCTTTGGCAATTAATTGATAACTGTTTATAGACCAAGAGGTGGAAGTCTGCCAACTATTGAATGATGATGACTCAACCTAGAGATAGCCTTGAAGCATTTCTGGCGGAGGTAAGATCGTGATTTGGGCATATACAGAACTTGTCTGGTGAAATATACTATAAATTGTTTGATAGTTCTGTATTAGTAGCTTATTATGAAGTTCTCTACGCTGCTCATGTAATAAGAGCAGAGCGTATTTCAAGCTGGATATGGGATTCAAAGGAGTTATATAAGTGTCTGGTATATAGTGATGTTTTTTCATACGGTATAGTAACGTTTCGAATCTATAAAATTTAGGTAAGAACACCGTAATATACGGATTTATTTCACCAAAAAGCCCCCGTCAAGAGAAAACAATATACATTGAAATATTAAATGCACGTAAAACTACTATACGAGCTCTTCCATAACAATTTAGTTTTTGTAACTGTAATCAGTGTAGTCTGTAAGGTAATGTTCAACCCTTTAACCCAGAATACATGTTCTGTGGACTTAAATGTTTGCTACAAAACTACTCCGTTACTACTAGATGTGCCTTTTGTTGTGTTCTAAATTCCAATGTTATGGATTCACGCCATTGGCCTTGATGTTTATTTTATTTTATTTTATAAAATGTCAGATATTAAGGGTCTTTATCAGTGGTAGCCATCTTGAAATTTAGTCGCATAAAATTGTTAACTTTTGTGTGATAAGGCACGCGAAATACCGGAAAAGGCTTTCAGATTTAGTACAGTAGTTTGACAGAGCGCCACAAAAATTGAATCGCTGGAGTTAAGTTGGAGTTGCCAATTCACTGATGAAATCGATAGGCCTATTATGTTACACAAATTGAAAACATAAAAATACATTTTGGGTTGTGGTTATTAGTTGTATACACGCAGGAAAACGTTTTGAAAGAGTATAGTATTAGGTTCATTTTTTTGACCACAACTTTTCCTCGTACAAATTACTCAATACTGAAAAATAAAATTATTTTGATCAAATAATTATTCCATGATTTTTTGTTATCCATGGAATTGTCAACCCAAGGTTGACTTTGGACAGAGACAAAAGGAGGGTTTGGATTTGTCTTTACTTTACAAACACCTGTTGGCAGAAATAAAGAGACAACGCACCAAACATTGACATATCCTAAATGAAATTACAGTACAGTACTAAAAAATAAAGTTTGACCGATTCATATTTTGTTATTATCATAACAAACTATTTATATTTTTAAGTAGGATAAGTTAGTTGCATAGTTACCTGTTGCGCCGAAGAACTGGCCGTCTTCTGTGTTTGCATGGAGCCAACAGAATTCTTCTTCTGGAAGTTCTCCATGACGGCGGCCATCTTTGGTGTGACGTCAACATTGTCTGTCCCCTCGGTCGGGAAATCTGACATCTGAAACAAAAACACGGTCAAAATACTGATTCAAAGGCTGACAACGAACTGCACTCACGGTCAAAGGAATTTACAAGGGTTGGAAGGGTAGCCCGCCTAAGCCATATGGAACTGCACTCACGGTCAAAAATCGGTCTTTCACGGCTGAACGCTTCGCTAGCCCCTTAGTCATCTGTTTATTCCGTCCTCTGTCTTACTTTATCCAATACTTTATTTAATACACGTTTTAGTGTCTGTCCCAATAAATACAACAATAACTAACCTAACCTAACCTTTACAAAAGAAGCTTCGTTATAATAGGAATATAGCCTATCATGTTATCGTAAATACTATGCTAGAATTTTCTGTACACATGTGTATTTTTTACAATGTCAGTAGTAAGTTTATTTTTTGACGTTTAGATTAATTTAATCAAAACTTTTCAATATATTTCAACTAATTTAATAAGTTTTAATCAATTCAATCATGGTGTTAAAAATAGGCTAATTAAAAACTGACCGTGAGTGCAGTTCCGGTACCCCCAGAAAGGTTCAAAGTGACCGTGAGTGCAGTTCCGTAGTTGGATTAGGACCAGGGACTGACCGTGAGTGCAGTTCCAGCCCTCCCGATTCAAAGTATAGGAGAGGAATTTACTCAGTAGTTCATGGGAGGTAGGTGGAATGAATATTCCGCGCCAGTTCGATAACTGTGTAGATGCTGTAGATACTAACTAAAGGAGGTTACAATAAAATTACATGTGTCAGTCTATGATTGCTCCAAAATGATTGTCCAGTCTCTCAAATATGAGCCATCTGGGGTAGCATGGCATACCACTTCGTACCCAAATACACTGAAGGTTACTTTAAACTTAATTCTTCTCTATAATTCTTTGACTAGTGTACATGTTGCTCGAATTCGAGCAATTACAAAGTATTACAGGAGTTATTTCAGATTGAATAACAGTCATATTTACAATGAATTTAAAAGAGTCAACTCAAATATTACCGTTGTGTAACTCAGACCCTGTTTATCTTCGTTATTGATAAACCTAAAGCATTCCGGACGGTTCTCTCCTTCTCAAAATGCCTCGCTGTACAGGCAACACAGGTCATTAATAGAGGGCCAATTGAGAACGAAAAGTCGTTTTGGGGTAGTGTAAGGGCGCATTTGTAACCAAATAGTTGAAGTTGTCCAGGTTCATGTTCAGACTGTTAAGCTGATGAGTTAAGCCTATTACGCGCCACTGTTCTGTAGTTGCGGTCGTTATCACGATTGCGCCTCCTGTCTATGTTTCGTTGTCGTTGCGTCGGAGACATTTAAAAGAAATAAACAACAAATAATAAACAAATTATAGCTACACAAAACAACGATAAATGCACAAATTTAAGTTACAATCATGCTAACACAATCCATCATAGCGACACAAAACAACGATAAATACACAAATTTAAGATACAACCATACTAACACGATCCGTCTTGGGGGTTATGTTTACACAAACTCAAATCTTATCTTATCTTACTAATATTATAAATCTGAAAGTTTGTGAGTTTGTGTGTATGTTTGTGTGTATGTTTGTGTGTGTGTTTGTGTGTGTGTTTGTTGCTCAATCACGCATAAACTACTGGACGGATTGGGCTGAAATTTGGCATGATGATAGCTCACATTCCCGATTAACATTAAAGCATATTCTTATCTCAAAAACCCTTTCGGGCTCCGCCCCAGTGGCTCTGTAGTTCCCCATGTTAATCTTATGATTTTTCATATTTAAAAGGAATTAATGAATCTTAACAGCTGTCTCAATTAAACAAGTTGGTTCTGTTCTATGATGTTCAACAGCATAAAAGTTACAAGGATTACCAACAGGGCGCAGCACTATTAATTTTTTTTTATTTATGACAACAGCTAATTTCCGACCAAAAGGTGAGTGAGCGTAGCGAACGAACTTCAACCTTGAGGCGAGTTAGCGTAGCGAACGAGCTAACCTGAAGGCAAGTGAGCGCAGCGAACGAGCTCCAACCTAAAGGTGAGTGAGCGTAGCGAACGAACTTCAACCAGGACGTGAATGAGCCATGCGAATACTTATGAAGTTAAACGGGGCGAAGCCCGCGGGTACAGCTAGTAGTAAATAAATGTACTCAATGTGTTTCATTGAATTTTGAAAAGTAAATAACAGCAATAAAATTATACAGCTGATCAAAATGTAAACAATTATGTTCTTCATAAGGATAACATGGGAACTTTTAAAGCCACTGGGGCAGAGCCCAAGGGACTTTTTCAAAAATGTAAGGTCAGTTTGCAAATCTACGCGACACGCTCTTTCCAATGAGACGTCAATGGATAAAATCGGTTAAGAAATGGCGGAGGAGTTCAACCGACAAACTTTCGTGTAGCGTATTAATTATATAGATTGCCTTTGACAGCAGACTGAAGAAGGCTTTTGATACATAATTATATATATAATATATATAGAGCTCACAGTCCCATGGGAGGTTTAATTGGTTTTACCGGTTTTCTATGTGTTTTATCTCATCCAAAGTAATAAATATGAATATTGTTTGTGCTCTTTCAGCAACAAAAAATACTAAACAATAAATTCCCTTCCATGAGTATACACATACAGAAAATAAACATCAATGATGGATAATTAGCATACATAGGTAGTTAATTGAAAAGTTTTGTAATAACTCTGTGGTATAGTAATAAACGTCAGTAATACATTGCAAACAGATCACAATATTTTATCACTGTTTACCAGAAGTTGCTGGGATAAACAACTCAATTGCAACATGGCGTGGGGTCGTGGGTTTGTGTATGTTACCATATGCAGGTGGGCGTGGACTCGAGTTATTTGTAGTAGTAATTAAATATTTAAGACTTTTCATTACATATAACTTTACAACAAGTAACCAGGTGACATGTTAGTTAGGTAAAATTATACATAAGTATAAGTGGAAAAAATATTGACAAATAAAACAACTTAAGTGTACTACTGATGAATACAGATTACTTAGATAGTTTATATGGATTATACATAAACCTAATAATGGGGGCGCAGTTTGTGAATTGTAGTAGTTAGGCATGAGCATTCTGCTCCGGAATGCTGGGTATAAATCCCACTTATCACCATTAAATGTGAATACAACAAAGCACAAATAGTTCCATATATCAATAAAATGTCTACCTGTATTACAGTGTTCGTGCATACCTACGCAATACTTTACATTAACTGCGTTTTAATAGTTTACCAAAAAGTTAGCTTTAACAACAAAGGGCTACTTTTTACAAAGGGGTGTTATTCGCGTGCATTAGAAAGAACTCATATTGAACTAAATTTAATTGTTTCACTTGATTGTACTACTTTATTAAATGATTTTAAAATGTTAATGCACTACCAGTCATAGTGCAGCGTGAAACTATTAATTATATATGACTTGTACATTAATTGGTAAGGATAAAAATGTGTTAAGAGAATAGTTTCGATTTTGTCATCCTTACGCAACTCCTTTAGGTATTTCAAGGTTTAAAGTTGTACGTGCCACGCGGCCCAACATTTCTATATTTCTTCTCCAAACAAAATTGTATTCTACTGTTAGTACCTAAAAGTAAAATGTGTACACTAACAGTGGAGCTTATATCATACCTATTTATAAGACCTAGCTGATAAACAAGCTTATACAATGACAAACAAATTAATCAAATGCACAAATACTTGAATTGTTATTTTTTTATAAACTCTTGCGTAACGAGTCATATAACAATACAGATCTAGCAAGACTTTGTAGACGCATCACTCACACGTGTATGGACAACAATACCCACAAGGTCATCATTACAGAACATGTAAGTAAGTAGCCTTACAAGATGGCTCAAACACAGGAAACTTACGTCAATCCACCGTCAATGTAGGCTCACATAGGTTGACACATGACTAGAAAACTACAAACTACTGCGATTACAGAACATCGGTGAAACGGCATCAGCCGCCTGACACCAGAACCAACTAAACAGACGCTAGAAGTATTTACTCTCGTCACCACGTTTATCCCGTTTATCCTATTTTGTCCCTCACTACGCAGTAAATCGCTTCTTAACTTACAGCATACACATGAAATAAACACAAAACACTACATGTTATAAAACATATAATGAATCATAGGCAGTTTGATTGTACATGTGTTGATATCAACAAATAGCCTAACATTAAGGGTATGCAAACTCATTTTATCCCACATTCGGGATAAAATCCCTCCAGAACCGCTGTACCTGGGACCGGTACCGTGCTGTAGTGGGCACCGGTCAAGGTTACGACGGACAGACAGACAGACGCCTACTGCACTGTGCACGGTACTTCCGGTTCCGCGTGCGCATGCGTTCTCTCATGCATTGAAAACAAAACAAAAATGAAAATAAATAGCTATTTAGGTGGGATTAAGTTTTTGATTATATGCGCGCAGCATACCTCTACCTGAAACATTAATCGTTCAGGGATAAATTTGACAATTTTTGTAATCAGTAGTACTGTAAATACAATAGTAAGTAGACAAATAAAGTTTTGCCAGTGATGATAAATGTACTCATTTATAGACAACTAGCAACAGAGCCCGTTGTAGTTAAATACAACGGTCCCTAGAAAGTACAGTGGTACATAATATATGCCCTTGTAAGTACCTGAACATTTTTTTAAGAATGAAATTGTTTAGAAACTGATTTTCTAAAAGAGTAAAATAATGAAAAACACAAATAAAATTTTACAAAAATATTTTATTTACAGTATTTCTTTGTAAATAATATTCTTTGTAAAGACTTCATCTGAATGTTTTAACAATCTTCCTTGTTCTTTGCCAGGGATAATTTTAATTTTTATGTCTTCAAACCTTTTAACCCTTGATATTGCAACATACAATTGTCCATGGCTGAATACTGGTGCTGGAAGGTATATCCCAACTTTATCCAATGGCGGCCTTGTGCTATGTTTATTGTAATAGCAAACGCTAATTTTAAAGGAAATTGCCGTCTTT